ACATTCACTCCCTTAAACTGATGATGGCGTAGTCTTTAGATCAAACTTTAGGATCTTGACATACACCAAGCATCATGCGTAGCTTCTCAAACACAACTCGAGTCAAAGGTTGTCATGATATCAGCCACTTGCTCTTTAGTATGACAATGTTGTAACATCACAGTTCCATATTTACTTAAATCATGGAGGAAGTGGAAACAAACATTAATGTGTTTGCTTCAACCATGCAAGACTAGATTTCTTGTCAGCTTAATAGTAGAACTATTATCACAGTACACCATTGTAGCTCCAACTGGGATATGATCGAGTTTATCCAACATCCTTCTCCTCATCCTCTACCTCAAAATGTGCCACCTCTACAATTTGTTCTCCCTGTACTACTGTCAAAAGTGATCTTCAATGTCTGCTCTTCCACAGTATGTCTTTGCACATGTTGTTCATGAACCAGTAGACTATTCTGCAATTCATCAATGGTCATGATGTTCAAATTGTTGGATTGTTCAATGGAGAAAGCCACGTAATCAAACTTTGAAGTCATGGAGTGCAGGATTTTCTCAATAATGCTAACATCACTCATCTTTTCACCATGGAAACACATTTTATTAGCAATGGTGAGAATACAAGAAAAGAAATTAGAAACACCTTCATATGAAAGGTCTCAAAGTCCTTACGTAGAGTGTCATTGTCATGCTTGTCCAAGGCATGTCGCCCATGGCCGCATGCCCATGACACGCCGAAACCCTGCCTTGTACTACTTTATTGCTTTCTTTTACCACTTTTTTGTTGTATTATTTCTTTCTTGTTTTTTTTAAGAGTATGACATTTCGGCGAAGTCATGGCTATCCCTGGTGGACATGAAATGCCTCAAAATGTACTATAGGAGGATGCGACTAGTTGTCATAGTATATTACTGTAGTAACCCATTAGAGGTGCTTAGTGGGACGAACCATGACCTTTTTACTGATCTAGCCGAGCGGCATAGTGACAGGTAGTTAATGTTCCTAAGACAAGTAGTTTTACTGATCTAAGCCTACAAGGGCGTAAGACAGGTCGTTACTGACCCAGCCTAGCGAGGCATAGTGGCAGGTAGTTACTGATCTTAGGAACAGTTAAGACGTTGCCAGGCACCATTAAGCTCCGACTAGTGACTATTTGAGCACAAAGCTTAAGATCCCGTGAATAGGGCTAAGTTTGACAAGAGCTTACAAGCAGGTTGCTTACTAAGTATTTGTATATACTCATTTCGTGTTGTTTCGATTTTTCAGCTGAAAAGTATATCCGGATTGGTGGCGGGAACGTGTGGAGTCGTGCAGCTGCAGAAGAGGCCCTTAGATTGAGTCCTCTTTTCCCATGTCGTTTTGGTTATGATTTTGATGTTTTTGGAAAAACACGCGATATTTTGCAACCGTTTCCTTTTGATGTATCTCTGCAGGTTCTCGTTATGTGTTTTGTAGTATTTTCGATTTTTGAAATGTACATCAGACAACTTTTAACTTTTAGTCCCCTGTTTAAACAACAAGAAGTATTGAAAGGTTTTTACTCTTGAGTCCACATGGCGACCAGTGATTCGATGCATCGAAGATCGATCGTTACACAAACCAAGTTGTAGATGCCCTAAGTTAGAAGAGCGAACATGCGGCCCTGTGCATGTTAGCTCATCTACAAGCAAGTAAGCTGAGCGGAACGATATGAGAAAGTATCGAGGAACACCTAGCCAAAGACTTGGCCGCTCAGGCCATCATGCAGCTAGCTAGAGAGGGGAAGACTCGCCAGTTTTGGGTCGAAGACAATTTACTCTTCACCAAAGGAAATCATCTTTACGTCCCCCGTTTGGGGAACTTGAGAAGACTCCTACGAAAAGAATGCCATGACACACCGTGGGCGGGCCACAATGGGTGGCAGAGAACCTATGCCCTCCTAAAAAGGGGGTACTATTGGCCGAGCCTCCGCGATGATGCGACACAATTCACGATGACCTGTCTTATCTGCCAACAAGACAAGGTTGAACGAAACAAAATTGCGGGACTGCTGGAACCTCTACCGGTCCCACCCCGACCGTGGAAAAGTGTTTCTCTAGATTTTATCACACACCTCCCCAAGGTAGGAGAAATGGAGTCCATCTTGGTCATCATTGACGGATTCTCCAAATATGCCACATTTATCCAACCTGCAAGTCATGCTCGGCTGAAGCGACCACACAACTATTTTTTCGACACGTAGTCAAGTTGTGGGGCATTCCCACCAGCATTGTCAACGATCGCGATCCGAGATTCACAGGGACCTTCTAGGTTGAATTGTTCAAGCTATTGGGGTCGAGCCAAAACGTCTCTTCGAGTTATCACCCCCAAAATGATGGACAAACTTAAAGGTTCAACAGTCTGCTTGAGGAGTTCTTACGTCATTTCATTAATGTGCGACAAAAGAATTAGGTACAGATGCTTGATGTTGCTCAGTTTAGCTTCAATTGCCAACAAAGCTCGTCGACAAGTAAAACCCCTTTCGAAATAGTATGTGGTAGAAAATCACTCATGCCCCATGTTCTTCACCACCCCTATGCTGGGAGAAGCCTTCAAGCGTACAACTTCATCAAAGAGTGGAAGCAAACCTCTGAAATAATACAAGCGTACTTGGAGAAAGCCTCCCAAAGAAAGAAGAAGTGGGCTGACAAAAAATGAAGATCATTAGAGTTTCAAGCTGGTGACCAAGTTCTGATCAAGTTGAGATCAGAACAATTTAGATTTCGTGGGAATCGGGACCAGCGACTAGTGCGAAAATATGAGGGACCAATTGAAGTCATTGAGAAAGTCGGAAGGACTTCATATCGTCTCCAACTACCTACATGGATGAGGGACACGACCACCAGTGACGATGAAGGACCAAGTGACACGACCACCAGTGACAATGAAGGACTCGAGTAAGAAGGAAGTGGAAAAGATTTTGACCGAGTGAACCTGTCGCATTGGCAAACCAAAGCGCAACTTACAAGAATTTTTAGTCAAGTGGAAAGAACTTCCATAAGAAGAAATCAGCTGGGAACGTGCCGACGACCTGAAGACAGCGCACCTCAGATTGTAGAGTTCAAAAAGATGAGACGGTTGACAGGGACGTCAACCAATTAAGTGAGGGAGGATGTCACGGTCATGCTTGTCCAAGGCATGTCACCTATGGCCACATGCCTGTGACACGCCAAAACCCTAGCTTGTACTACTTTATTGCTTCCGTTTACTGCTTTCATGTTGTATTATTTCTTTCTTGTTTTCTCTAAGAGTATGATGTTTCGACGAAGTCATGGCTACGCCTGGTAGACATGAAATGCCTCAAAATGTACTATACGGGGATGCAACTAGTTGTCAAATTCTCCCTACCCGTAAAAGTTATATACTATTTAAGCCGTTGTTGTTGCCTCTTTGTTTGCATGCTATATAATACCACTCTCTCTCTCTCTGGCTTTCAAAACTCTTTTTCCAAAATCTCTCTCCCCCGCTTTCTAAAATCTTCTCTTGAAATTGAAACTCGAGGTTTGTATTCACATTGTCCGACCGTAGACAACGTGACTCGAAGTAGGCTTGACTCACTGTGTTGAGAGTGAGTGCCACACAATCGCCAAATCCGCTGCCTAGAAACCGCGATTGTGACAATTTCCTTCATATGAGTGAGTGCCTAGAAACACCTTCATATGAAGGGACTCAAAGTCCTTGCGCAGAACATGTAGTTGTGCTCCTTTCACCTTTGTATTTCATTAGATTTTTTTTTTAATTGAATACCAAATTCCTTTCGAAGTTTTTTTTTCTTTTATATATAAAAAATAGTCTCTAGAATTGAGCGATCATGGTGTGGAAAAGGTAGTTCTTAGCTCTTAAGTCTTTCAATTTCTAATCTGCTACCTCCTTCTTCTGTTTTTAGTAGCCATCTTTAGATGCAGTTGAAATAAACAAGGCTCTAATACCAAAATTTAATGAAGATAAGTTTGTAGAAGGAAGAAAATTCAATGCTTATGATGTGAAAAATGATTACATTTCTAGCCCGTACAATGATTAATGGAAGATAAAAATAAAATCCTAACAAAAATCATGCCAAATCAAAGTGCTGCATATAAGTGATATGATATTTAGGAACTAAAACATAAAAATAGCAACTAAACTAAATCTTTTGCAACATAGATTAGTCAAGGGCTTTCAAAACAAGAAAGTAGAAGATAAATGAAAATTCGAAGATATTTAAAAAAAAAAATAAGAAAAGAAAAAAAAAAGTGACAAAATATTATGAAGAAATTCAAAAGGTGTTGCATACCCTAATATTCTTAAAATTCTTAATCCTCTAAAAGTAAGAAATTCAATTGATTTTTTTATATAAAAAAATAAATAAAAAGAAAAAGAAATAAAGACAAATGTGCCCAACACGTAGACCAGCTCTTGAGCTGTCTGTTGAGGACTTTCCCAGACAAAGATACCAATTTCAATAAATTTTGTCTTTTTTTTTTTTTTTTAATTGTACTTCTTACCCAATTAGCTTTCTTTATTATTATTATTTTTTCACTTGGGAATAATTTTTATTCCAATTTAAAACATATTTTGATCCATGAATTTTATTTATTTATTTAATTTCTTTTATAATTCCTAAAAAGCTATTTACATTAAAATGAAATGAAAATAGTTATAATTAATAAAGAAGCTAAACTAATTCAATTATACAATCTTCATATATAAATTTAATTTTTTCCCATAATTTTTAAATTAATTCTTTAATAAAAATTCCGTTTTATGCGGAAAAAGTTAATAATTTCGTTTTCTATTGAACTTTATTAGGATCACGTTTATATTAGATTTAAATATTTTAATCATAATTAATTGAACTATGTATAAATATTTACCCGAAAAATTTATGTGAGCGGTTAAATCTTTTATTTAAAGAAAAAAAAATTAAGGGGGTGGTTAAATTTTTTATTTAAAGAAAAAAAATGTTGGAAAAAAAAAAGGAGAGAAAAACTGTGGAGTATCTGAATGGAAATCCCGTAAGATTCGACGGTCCGTCAATCAAACAAAAGAAAACAGCGACGATGAAAAAGCAAATTCTCAGCCCTTTCCTTCCCTCCTTGTGTTTTTCCTCCGCCGCCGCCTCCTCCCCCTCCCTCTCCTCTCCGCCGCCGCCGCCGCCTTCTCCTCCGTATCTGTATTATCCATTACTTTAATTGTATTACTCCTTCCCGATTCCGTTTTCTTCTTCCCTGCTTTTCCCTGTACAGCTCTATCAAACCCGCCTTCTTCCTACACTCCCTGGATCTCTCTCTCTCTCTCTCTCTGTTCCTGTCTGGCCCATCTCATCCCCCTTTCTTTCTCATTTTATTTCTAGGGTTTCCATTTCCAATTATGATCACTCTTGTTCGCTTTGATCATTCCTCTTCTGCCTTACTTTCCCTCTTTCCTCTTTTCTTCCCCTTTCAATCCCTTTCACTTTTCTCCTGATTCTCTCTGTATATTCCCTCAATTTCTCAAGGGTTTTCCTAGGGGTTTGCTTCTGCTATGTGGGTTTCTCTCTAATTCCCCAATTCTCCACCACTTCATTGAATTCTACGTACCCTTTGTGTCTCTGTTTATATTGTATACTGGGTGTTCATTTCTTTGGATTTCTCCACTAATAATGGCTTATCAGCATATTCCGGTTCCTAGTTCCGTTTCTGGATCAACTTCCAGTTCTGGGTTCTTGAACTCTCCCTTTGGTGATACCACTTACACCAAGGTCTTCGTTGGTGGCTTGGCTTGGGAGACTCAGAGCGACACTATGAGGCACTACTTTGAGCAGTTTGGGGAGATTCTTGAAGCCGTTGTTATAACGGATAAGAATACAGGGAGATCCAAAGGATATGGTTTCGTGAGTATTAATGGGTTTTCTTTTTTCTTTTTACTCTAATGGGGGTTTTGTTAACTTTACACTTTTATTTCTACTTTCTAAAAGTAATAGCCTAAGAGCAGCCGTTTTACACGTTTGTTTCTATCACGGTTGATCACAAATATTTATATTCTTGACGTTAGATTGACCTGAACGTTTGTTCCTGTTTACTTGGAGGGCTTTAGGTGACTTTCCAGGATCCAGAGTCAGCTAGAAGAGCTTGCTCAGATCCTACTCCAATTATTGATGGCAGGCGAGCCAATTGTAATCTGGCTTCACTTGGCCGGCCTCGGCCACCTATATCTTATGGTATTATTTGCTTATTTGGCTTTTTATTGTTTAAGCAAATCACATTGGCAGTTCTTGTCGTGTGTGATTGTATGATCAGTGATTTTTACTGGTATGTGTTTTTTGAAGCTCTGGATTGATGAGTCTTTATTTCTACACTGTTGATTCTTACAGGACGTTTTAGACCGCCTGCAGTCTATGTTGGACGAATGCAACCCAACAGGGGAGCTTATATTGGAAATTTTGGCTACCAACAACCGGTTTCTTATCCTTATCAGCAGGGACTTGCATATCCTCCTTATAGGTGTGTCCCCGAGGTTTCTCTTTGTGCATCCAAGCCTGCCTTTACAGTGAAATTTCATTATTTTGTTCGACTCAGATTTCTTGCTTTTTGCTATATCACGACCTTTACATCTTGTGATATGACTGGTGGGGCTTGGCTTGCTTTCAAAATTTTGAAGTTATGAGATTTTTGGTTATTTTTCTTCTCTATTTGCCATCAAGTCTTATAGGAAATGAAAGATGTTGTAAGATTTTGGATCGTATATGCTAGCGTTCTTCGTTTCTTAAGATAGCCGAGGGTCATCACTTGGCTGGTGTACATCGTCTGCAATGCTTTTTTAATGTTAGCATTTTAAGCACAAGAGGTAATATGACCAATCACACCGTGCAACATTCATTAGGATATGTTACACTGCCGCCTCCTAGAAATCAGGATTGATTATATCCTGATCAGTGATATGACACAGTGTGATTGGTAATTGCAGGAATACCATAGTAGGTATTTGAGGATATGTGCCAAGACTAATGTAATTGAACGCGAAGAAGCATGGCTAGAATTATTGGAGATGTCCCATTTCTTGTTTTCCCTCGCATTTATGTTTCTGTGAGAAGTCAAGTTGGTAGGATATGACACTCTGGTCTCTAGTTAATTGGTATACTGGATTCCAAATACTTGTCTTCTGGTATCACATTGGACTGCTGGTTGTAAATTGATTTCCTCCCATGAAAGTTTGCACCGTCGAAACATTTTTAATATTTTCGATCATTCGTTTTCTGTGCAGTTATGCTACTTATGGACCTGAGTATGTCTACCCACAGGTATCACTATTGCTTTATTTTTCTTGTGTGTACAATTCATTTTGCGGAGGGTGGAAGTAGGGTAGGTGATATGCAGGGCATCTTTAAAGTTTCTTAAGGTTTTTGTTAGCTCTAGCATAATATGCTCATTGGCTCTGATTTTCTGTGTCCTTTATTTTTTGGTTTGGGTGGATGCAACCGTTGTGTGGGTCAGCAATACCTGCAGATTTATGGGGTGCCTGGGTCAGCAAGCCCTACTTTTTATCATTATGGACAATTAGGTCAAACAGTCCCTGGTGGTCATGGATATGGAGCAGTACATGGATATGGAATGCCAAGTCCTCAGATCGTGCAGTTTAGTGGTCCTAATGTTAATGCATTAACATCTTCTCCAATGCCTACAATTCAGGCACCATATCCTTCAGGTATTTTGCCTTGTATGCAGATTATTCTTTGATATTGTAATGCGGAGATAACTCTTGATTGCTAGGGCTAAAATATGAGTTTAGTCTAGTCTCTTTAGGTATTTTTCTTTGAATTTGTATTTTTATTGCCATCAATTGGAACTCTTGTGTAATTGTGTAGTTTTTTTAGTCTCACTTTTGGTTTGGCCCTTCGATATTTTTTTTAAGGCCATTTTTTGTTTCTTTCTTTCATTTATTTTCGGAAGTAACTTTTTCTTAAATCTAAAAGAGGTGTCTTGGTCAACTTTTGTACAATCGTTCATTGGCTTAGTTCTGTGACGAGTAAAACTTGATAGAACTCTCAAGTTTCTCTGCATTGAAATGTCACCCTCTTGTAAAGAGATGTGAGATCCCACGTCAGTTGGGGAGGAGAACAAAACATTATATATAAGGGTGTAGAAACCTCTCCCTAGTAGACACGTTTTAAAAACCTAAAGGGAAAGCCCAAAAAGGACAATATCTGGTAGCGGTGGGATTGGACTGTTACAAATGGTATCAGAGCTAGACACCGGGCGATGTGCCAGCGAGGAGGCTGAATCCCAAAGGGGGTGGACACAAGATGGTGTGCCAGCAAGGACGCCCCAAGGGGGGTGGATTGGGGGGTCCACATCGATTGGAGAAGGGAACGAGTGTCAACGAAAACGTTGGGCCCCAAAGGGGGTGGATTTTGAGATCCCACATCGGTTGGGGAGGAGAACAAAGCATTCTTTATAATAAGGGTGTGGAAACCTCTCCCTAGTAGACGTATTTTAAAAACCTTAAGAGAAAACCCGAAAGGGAAAGCCCAAAGAGGACAATATCTGCTAGTGGTGGGCTTGAGCTGTTACAAGAGAGGTCCGAAAACTGGATATCTTATGGGGACTCAGGATTATTTTTCCTTTTTGATTTTTTGCTGTGAAAACTTCTTTTATTTGAGACGAAAGAAAGTGCAACCTAAGGTGCATGGGGATATTGAAATCAGAACTGAAGGACAACTGGATAAGGATCTACGGGGGCAAATGATGAGGAAAAGTTTGTTTTACGACAGAACAAAGAGGATATAATATATCAAGATATCTTTGTTGCTTAATGCAATTTAGGCCACATTTCTATTCGTTTTACATGTGCCATGTTTTAATCTGATGATGAATGAGGGAAAACTAGAGTAACATGCCTTAACATGTTAGATATGCTCGATTAGGAAAACGTGTTTGTTTCATCAGGGATTCCAGCACCTGTTGCAGCACAACCACAGTTTGTTGTTCATTCTCCTTCTCAGTTTGTACAAGGTAGCGGTTCTGACCAAACATCTGGGTGAGGAGTTGATCAGGTAAGCAGCAGAGTTTGCAATTAATATTTGAAATTTCATTTCCTATTTTTATCACCAGCTGTCTAACCACCTGAAATTTAACTACATTCATAGGTATCCATAGATTGCAGCAGGACTTAGAGCAGTGGAGCTGCTACATGAGTGGCGGGCTTCGGATCTAACCTTGCAAATAATTTATCATGCATTCTAGAGGTAGTCTTATGCTCAATGCACAGCTTTTACGAAATTTTCATATGGTCAGGATGATGACTATTTGAAAGTTTATCGTAAAATCATTGCGAAAATTTCTTTGCTTTCGTATCTTATTTCATATAGATTATATAGCAGCCACAATTCTGGAATACGAGTCAAATACTAAGGGAACAACTAATTTGTGGGGAGTCTAAAGTCGATTGGCCGCCTCAATTCTCCTGTTTTAGTTTATGTGTGGTAGTTGAGGAATGAAGTTGGTAGAATTGAAGATGTGAATGGATGCTCATAAGAAAGAGTGTAGAATGTCTGAAAATGACATGACTGTTTGGTTTGAACTATATAGTACTGGGAATTATATCTACAAATATATTCCCTGGGTTAGCAGATGAGTTAAAATACATTTACTGTTTCCAAATATACCCTCTAAGGTGTCTGAGTGGAGAGGAAATGAAAGATGTATGGAAATTTACCTTGTTCATTCTCATACAGCTGAGTTTTAGGCATTACCTAGGAAATCTTGAAGTCATGTCCATTACTGAAAGAGTGATATAAACAAAGGAATAGAAACTCTTGCTCGCTGTAATCTTCCCAAGACTCCAAATAATTGGAATGCGAGAATGAGTTAAGTTGATAATTTTTATTACCTAGCTTAGCATCTTTCTGATGTACTTGTATATATGTGCATATAAACTTTTGTGGTTCTCTTTTAATTTGTGCTTTTAGAATATCTCGTAGGAATTAGGGGTATGTGAGGTTTCCAACTGTATGTAATATATTTAGATAGAGACATTGGATCAAAAAGGTACAAGTAATACCTTTACTTTACGGAAAATAAGAAGAAGCACGGGTAGACCGATGGGAGAAAAACCCCTCCCAACAAGGATCCTGGTAAAATAAACGCTCTTTCCTCTCTCCTTTTCTCCGCTCATCCTCCTGGTTTGTTAGCCTCCATTTGCCATCGAGTTCGTTTTTTTCATTTTTTCCAGATTAGGTTACTAGTTTTAAGGCCCATTTTTTGAATTCTCAGCTGATTGGTATTGATTAGCATCTTTCGCTCATCATGGAAGTCAAAAGTTGTGTTTGTAATACATTTTTCAGTATTTGAAGAGAAGAAAACAATTTTTGTTGAAAATATTACATTTAAACAACCATTCCCTTTTTCCATGTCCCATCTTGGTTGGTTTGGGAGTTTTTTTTGTTAGATGTTCTGCATATGCTGATTGATTCTAAATTTCTCAAGGAAGGTAGAGATTCATTTGGCACTTCTCGTTTATCTAATTTCAAGTCTCAACCAGGATGGTTTATTAAATGTGTTGTTTGACCTCTAAACATGGGTAGGAAGAAACTCCGTGTTGGACCAAATATGGAAGAATGACTAGTTTTTTGGGAGATAATATGAAACATGGGTAGCAAGCTCGCCAACACGTGTTGGACCAAATAAGAAGCATAAAGAAGTTCTTAAGGTGTTTTCATTTCCAAGAAGACTTTTATTGTCTATATTTGAGAGCTGCTGCTTTTGCACTAATTCCATGGAATTTAATTATCATTCATCCACCTATTTATTCTTTTAGGGGTTGTCGTGTTTCTCCTCAAATAGTCTCATGGTGCATTCCTTTGTGTCTTGGTTGTTGAAGCCTCCTTTATGAAGTCAAATTCCGCTTTTATGAACAAACATTCAGCTTGGATTGCACACCTTGATGGGTGGCTGGAATTGATCTGTCATGAAATAGTGCTTTATAGAGTAGAATTCTTCAAAAGAATTCAGAGATTCTTCTCTAATATAAACAAAAGTGGAATAGTATGACAGGCTTTCCGAAAAATGAAACGAAACCCGCTTGATCGATATGAAAAAAGCTGAACAATACTTGCTTCGCCATAGTAAAAGTTAAAGCAGCAGATTTAGAAGGACCTCCCTAGTTTTCTCAAGTTTCTCAAAATGGTGGCAAAGCTCAATAATAGTCTTTTTTTTTTATAGGAGTGTGTTTTGTTAGGTTTATGAGAAGTTCTTCATGGTTGTCTGTCTTTGGTGTTTTTAATTTTTTTTCACTCCCTTCGGGTGTTTGTATCTCTTAAAACTTTTAATCCCTATCATTATATCAAATGAGAAGTCGTCCCAATGAACACGTTTATTTATGATGCGAACTCTATACCGTAGAATGTTAGCAAATTGCATGCATCCACCGCATGACATTTATTTTCTGGAAGTTGAATATCGATCGACTTGTAAACATGAACATATATTGCTTCCATTGTTTGCAGTTGATCTGAAAGTTCTGGTACTTAACTGCAGGTCATTGTCATGCTCACCAGAGACGCCAGATGGTCTTGAGTCGCTCCAGACGGTGGAGAAGGAATATGGAAGACCTTTCTTCTTCCCCAGTGTTTATAAACTTTTACACGCTACCGACGCTCTGGAGAGTGGTAGGTAGTCGTCATGGATTGATTGACGGGTGCTTGAATCGGGTTTAAGCATCTATTTAGGAATAAAAACTTGTAAAAAGAAGTCAAAATTAGAATCAATATATGATTCTTTCATAGTAAACTCCCAGCATTTTGGGTGTATAGGAAGAAGTCTGGTGCTTTGTGTTCTAGTGGGTCTATCATCATCTTGGAACTAATATATGATTAAGTTCATGTGCATATTAGTTATATATAGCATTTATTGTAATTTGGATTTGTTTTGAAGCCTGACTTCATAAGAACGAAGCAGCTTCAGGTTCTATCCAATCCAGAAGATTGAATTGCTGATGTTTCATTTTAGTACCCGTTGATGGCGCGTCGGGTTGAGATTGGCTGCATCGGAGGATATTATCGAGTACTTAGTTCATCCTTTGTGTTCATCTGTTCTTCCATAAAATGACTTTGTTAGGTCCAATCTTGTGATGATGAGAGATGGAATTAGATGAGTTTTTGCTGATTCCTTTTAATATAAAGTCGTTTATTATAATTTGGATAATCATTAATTGCTTTATAAGCAGTCAATTCTCAATCAATTAGTTGGATTTGGCCAATCAACGACAATTAAGTCAAATGATTACTGATTATAAATCAAATTAATTAGTATCAACTTGTCCACTAAATCCTTTTCCAATATATATGGTGTAGATATGGCATTTCAAATGGCAACTCGTGTCATTGTCCTTTGTCCCGCTTCGATTTGTCTAGATGTGATCCAACCGGGTTCAAGTGCTTGAATAGCGTATCTACTGAAACAAATACTGTTGGTTCGATAAGATATTCCTTTCATTCTTCCTCTGGTGTTTACGAAATCTGATTCTTTTCGAGTTATAGTGGATGGTTATGTCTCAATTCCATCTCTACTACAGAATCGGATATGAGAATTTCTTCTCATCCAGCTCTTCGCGAATCGAGTGTCATGATCGTACTCTTCAAGTCATGTTGATATCATGAATTATACAATATTGTGGTTAACATTATGGAGAATTTAAGCTTAATCTAGGTCACGTCTTGAGGCTTAATCTTACCTTTTTTCTAGGTCAAGGTCCTTTAAATTTATTTGATTTTTATAGTTTTTGATAAAATGACCCTTGTGCTTCTATATCAATTTGGGGACATTATTCAGAGGAATTCAAACTCTTTGTTGGGTCAAACAAAACTTGTACTTTATTAGGTGATTAAAGAACTTATCGGAATAACTTAGGGCAAGTCTTAAGTCGACTGGAAACTATTAAGTCCCACTAATGTTTGGTGATTCCATCCTAAACATTGTGATGTTGTTCTCCTTTGCAGCTCGCTCGAGTGCACTTATCAAGAATCAAACCATGAGTTAACTTCATATTTGGGATCTCTTGAATACCCATCTATCCAAGCATCCTTGAGGTGAGTTCCTTTGTGTCCATGACGAATCCTTTTTACAGATCTTGTGAAGCCCGATTCCATAACCCGATTCCATGGTGGTGAAGAGCTAACACCATGCCTTCCCTACAAAGATGTCTATGGGACGGATGCGAGTACGGAGAAGTCTTCCTCGTCTCCATCTCTATCTACTATTTCATTATCTATTCTCATGAAATTCTTCATTTATTTTCTCGAGGATCAAAACAGAGATTTCATGAGGAATGTGTTCAATTATATATACCTTTAAAATATTTTTTTAATGAATAATTTTTATTTTCTTATAAAATTTCTATGAAGGTAAAACATCATAATAAATTAAATAATATTTTGTAAATAAAAATATAATACTAGAGTTCTAACATAATTTCTAAAAATTCAAATTTCGAACACCAACACAATTTTGTAACATTATATTTATATATAAATAAAAGTAGGGTAAGGTGGGAGGGGGCCAAGGTTAGGGTAAGGACGGAGCAGGGAATGTTATCCTCTTCCTCGATCTTGTTTAGTTAACGGAGAAAAATCTCTCCTTCTTCCCTCCATATTCCTCGTTTCAATGGAGATTCTCCGCTGGTTAAATGGATATCCTACTTTCCTATAGTACATTTTAAAACATATTTGATATGACACTGAGCCCATCAAAATAAGTGAGAAGTCACATGCCAACTTGGAATATTGCATCTTTCACTTAAAGAAACTTAATTCTAGAGCCACGGGTTAAAACTACAACTTTTGAGGTCATGGCTAAGGCCCCATTTGACCCTAGTAGGCTCGTCTCTAGCACCATAGACGACACTGTCACTTCGTTCTTGCTTGGCTTTAGCTTTACAGTCCAGCAACGTTGCCATTATTACTCTCATGCAAGCCATCATAGTTGTCTAGGCATTGTTGCCGTCAGCTCACCGTGGCATCACCATCTAGCTGTTGCCCTTGCTGTCTTCCTCGTCGGTCGTTGCTGGAATTGCTGCATTGAAAAATTAACAAATATTATTGTTTTAAGTTTTTGATTTTTTTATCGGAAGGGTTTAACCATGTCCAACAACGTCAGTGGGAGAAGTGTTGCAGGCAATACTGACAGACCATGGTTACTGATCTATCATCGTATGAGTTTAGTGGTCAATATTTTTATGCGTCGGTTAGGGTTGAGATAGACGACCCTAATCCATGGCATGTAATGAGAGAGTGATCCTGTTTTTTTAAAAAAATTTAGTCTCTTGATTTTATTTACAATTGCTATAATTGTATGCATATCTAATCCTCACACAAAACTGCCTTACTCAATATTTCTAACTTTTATTTTCGGACTTCTCTTCAAAGATTTTAAAACGCGTCTGTTAGGAAGAGGTTTCCACACTCTTATAAAGAATGTTTCGTTCTCCTCTCCAACTCATGTGGGATCTCACGATCCACCCCTCTTCGGGATCCAACGTCTTCATTGACACTCGTTTCTCCCTACAACCGATGTGGGATCTCACAATCCACCCTCTTCGGGGCCTAGCGTCCTCACTAGCGCTCTTTCCTCTCTCCCATCGATGTGGGACCCCCCAATCCAATCCACCCCTCCTTCGAGGCCCATCGTCCATGTCCACCCCCTTTCGAGTCTCAGCCTCCTCACTGGCACATCGCATGGTGTCTGGTTCTAATACTATTTATAACAACTCAAGTCCATCACTAGCAGATATTATCTTTTCTCGGGATTTTCTTCAATGTTTTTTTAAAACTCGTCCGCTAGGGAGAGGTTTCCACACTCTTATAAATAATGTCTCATTCTCCTCTCCAACCGATGTAGAATCTCACAGATATTCTATTAAACATACGCTAAATCATATCAAAAGTGTTCGAAGTTCAAACAATGTAAACAACAGTCACAACTAATACCTCAATTCCCTATCTAAACTGAACTGAACATCAGCTGAAGCATTCAACTTAGAATCAAAGAAGTAAGAAAACGCAATTACCCTTCATTCAACGTAGAGGCATTCAAATTTGTTCTGAAAAGAAAGAGAATCCAAGTTGGTGAAAAAGGGCACATGCTAAGACCTTCAATCTAGCTGCTAAATCCAGCACGTGCCCTGCCTCTCCAACATGGCTCACTCTTCCCATCTCCTAACTCACAGTGGCCTCCTCAAGTTGTAGTCTCTTAGGCATTTTATCAAACACCTTATAGGCCTATAAAAGGAACTGCAAGAACACACATATTTAAACAGATATGGGCAGCCCTGAGACAGAGTACACATAATATTCCACATGTTAATTTAAAACTTATCTGCCAACAAAAAGGTTTGTTGGTGAGAATGGAAAGCATGTTATGGGTTGGGTAGTGATTCATCTTGTCTTGTATATCAAATAATTCATAACCCATCAGTGGATCTGCGCACTGGCGGCCAAATTGATGAGTGGGGAGGAAAAGAAAACAGAGAGAGAGAGAGAGAGCTTCAATGGCTGCCAAACTGGCCACTTCAGGCAGACATGGGCGTCACCCAATGCCACCAACTTGGAAATGCTAGATCTAAAGGTCGGGAGGAGTCCACAATTGGCAGATTTAGGGAATGATCATCGACTTACTGATAATCGATTTATGTAATATATCTCAACAATTTATAAGTAAGAATATATCTCAGTTGTTATAAGCTTTTTAGGACGCCCAAAAACAAATTCACTAGAGTTTATGCTCAAAGTGGACAATATTATGTTGGTAACACTATCGATGTGACCCACGTTATAATCGATACAAATGATTTGATCTACGTCATTCCTTTGAAGATACTGTGAAGATACGAGAATGGAGATATTTTATACTATGAATTTGTATAAGATTGGACTATAAAATATTTAATCTCTTCTTATAAATTATACTGAGAAATTAATACTTTCTCCATTCTCTGGACAGGAGAAACTATGAATTACTCGATTAGTTCAACACGAAAATGCTATTCATATAGAATTTGAGAAATATTTGTCATATAATATATTGGGTTGATAGGGTCGGTTCAGTTGAACCGTCCACGTCATCATCTTCTTCCTCTCGAAGAAAGAAGACGCGTGTTGACTTTGTGTTGTCTCATGAAAATGTGCCTCCCCAGCCCTATTTAAAGTGTTTCTTCTCTCGATTCTTTCATGAAAATTAAAGATTGTGTTACAAGGAAGAGCTAGGGTCAATGAGAGAGCCGAACCCCATTGTGCAAGTCTCGTAATCAACACTTACGAGAATTACTCATCTACTTACTCTATATGAGAAGGAGCGAATTTAATCTCGTAAAATTATGCTTCTAATTCCCTGTTTGGTTAAGTCCCAAAACAATAGGCATGCTAAATCAACTATGGAAGTCACTTTCACCATGCAAATCAAAGAAGAAACTCTCACGTGCAGAAGTTTATAACTCACTTAACTTTAAGATCGAGCCTCATATGATTATCTTGTAAAATATTAACTTCTCAATTTATAAATTTATTAGGAGAGATTAAATATTTTGTGATTGAATCTTATATAAACTCATTATAGTATATTCCAACTTACATGTCTCCACGTGCATGATTTGGATCGAATTGTTTGTAACACTTACAAAGTGATTCATATCAATAATGTTACTAGGATAAGACACCGAACCTTATCCATATAATATAGACTTTTTAAGTTATTACTTGAACATGATCCTATATCAACTACATGGACCTACCAAGCGCGCTCCCGCACCCCCTAAACCTGACCCGTCGGGCTAGTACTCACTAACGGGCTCCCAAACACAATGGAGGGAAAGAACCTGCATAGATCATGGCGAACATAAATTTCATAAGTCGAAAGGTAGGCGTACGTACTAATCTTAACGAAGAAGTATCCCGATGCATATGACACACAAAAAATGCATGAGGTTTCTATAGTTTAAGATCATGGCATAAATTCATGATCCAAGTCAATCTTCCATTAGCCTAACAATCATAATTATAACATGTGTAGGGAGTCATGGGTCGCGTATCATCGTACATTATACAATTCATCTAACAAGTCTAACAATAGAGCTACTTATTTGGTTGGCCTGCAGAGTCCCTAAATAATTATAGAGCTAACCTAAATATGTTTTTCAATGTCTGATTTAACCTATGTGGATCCATGACATCAAATTAGAATTAATGAGCTTAACTTAATTAAATGTATCTAATAATTCAAATTTTCAGCCCAAAATAATTTGAATTTAGGATGCCTCTAATTCATTAAAAAAAAAACAACTTTGGAAGGGTTGAAAATGTAAGAAATGAATCCAAACAGCCCCAAATAGAGCTGAATAAGTTGTCCAAGCCGAGTCGGAGTCAAAATTGAGTTACTAAAGTCGCGTGCAGGAGGGACAACTTAACCGAGCCACAAGCGAGTGGAAGGCAAGCTGTGACCAAAGGAGCGGTTTGATGTCACAATAACACTCTTGTGGCAGCGGGTTAGTGATTGTTGGACACTTGTTTTAACCCAACAAACAAGTCAGCCTTGTGAAATTCCCACTTCGCGAATAATATCAACATATGCTCGATCTTCGAGTCACGTTTGAGATAATTATTTTAGAAAACGTGAGTAAGAAGATATGTTGAAAATAATTTTAAAGAAAGCAATGTTACTAAAAGCGGGTAGGCAACAACAATGACTTTGATAACATATAATAAAAATTGACATCTAATCACATCCCCTCTAGTATATCTTGGGGTATTTTAGCCCTAGCGGGTGCAGACATGATTTAGTTGACCGATCATACAACCCCTGACACAATAATAATAGTAAAGACGTATCTAATATGAAAGCAAGTAAAGGAGTTTGGAACGGACATGCGACCATAGACAATACGTCTTAGACAAGCATGATTGAGACATTCAACATGCGGCTACAGACAACACACCTTGGACAAGCATGACCGTGACATCCTCCCCTACTCAATTGGTTGACGTCTTTGTCAATCAACTATTCGCGAACTCAGTGATGCAGGATGAGACTGACTTCAGGACTTTCGACGTACTTCCAACTGATCATGGTATTGAGGGGCTTCTTCCAATCTTCTAGGAACTATTGAAAACCACATTTCGGTTCATTGAGTCTTTGTGTCTTCTCTGTCGGAGTCTCTCCTAACTTCTTCGTTGGAACATTTCTCTTCTTTGCATGAGGTCGTGTTGTCTCCTTGTGCTTGATGTCTTCTTATTGGGATAATAATGTTTCAGGTTACTAACGTGGATAGTAGAGCTATTCAACATCCATGAGAGTAATTTGATCCTATATAATGTCTTCTCAACCTTGTGGATAACTTCGACTAGTCCATTGTATTTTCGCACCCGTCATTAATTCTTGTTGCTTTCACCTTGGAGTTGATCTAACCTCAAGTTGATTAGAACTCTCTCTCCGTCTTGAAATTTTCATGGCCGATGCTTGTAACTGGCTCTTCTCTTCACTCGTCTAGATGGTACTTCTCGATAAACATGTGTTGCTTCAGAGGTTTGTCTCTATTTTCCTCCCTCAGCGAAGGTGTTGGCTTGGTGTCTCTCCGTAGCATTTGGGTGATCACTAACAACGGTCTTTTTGGGTCTAATGAACTCGATTGTTAGCAAGTAATTTAGTTATTTATAGAATTCAGGTAGCTCAGGTTGAGTCGTATGATATTCATTTGTAGTAGGCGGTCTCCCCCCCGACATACCATCAATCTCGTGATCAATCGGACCATGTGGAGATAAATATTTTATCTGACTTTCTAGAATTGTGTCATGGTGTTAGTGTAGTGGCCATGAGGTTTCTATCGGAGTGAGCTCACTTTAGCTACCCTCTTTAACTACGACAATGACAGCGAGTGTTGGTTCATCATGGCTAAGATCCTATCAACTGTAGTGCCAGCATCATTTTTACCCCTCTTGATTGAGAAGTGTTTATCTTAATAATCGTGGAGTTGGACCCTGTTACAACAAATCATTTTGCTAGGGGCATGAGAATGACTTTGTGTTTGAGTAGAAAGTCCATCCCTAACACAATTTTGAAGTCATCCATCTTAACTATCACAAAGTTAGTTTGTCTTGTTCAAGTCCCGAGTTTGATCGGAGTTCTCTTTGCAACTCCTAAGACAGGTAAAGCTACTGAATTGACGACCATCAACTTTTTTGTGTCTTGACGTCAAAGGATATTCAATCTTTTTACTTCGGTCTCTATCATGAAGTTATGGGTGGCTTTAGAGACAACAATCGTGTTCCTGGCCGCTCTGTGATTAATTCGAGTCTCAACATACATAAGACCGCATTCCATTAGCTCCTCTATCTCTTCCACTCTCTTCAGGAGAGAGGACGACCCCCAAGGGTGTTCAACAATTTCAACTAACGGTATTTCTGTTTCTACCGTCTCATACTCGGCTTTTGAATTCACTTCGAGTTTTGCTTGGAAGGTGTATAATGCCGCTTTCTGTGGGCATTTAGATTCTTAATGGGCTCCTTTGCATATGAAGCAAGACGAGGGGCCTTGGCTTTCACGATGACTATTTTGGTTGTGAGGTCTCCGCTATAGAGTTCTACCTCTCTATTGGGAGAACTCACATTCCCTTCCTCCACTTTCAAGTCTGACACTTTCTCTACCTTTGGGGGAGTTGCGTCGGTAATTCTTATTCACACCACTTGCGGATGCCTAGTTCCACCTTATCTCTTGGGGTTGATCGATTAGGTCAAACAGTAGTTCAGCTGTAGCATAAGCCGTGGAAAGGTCTTAAACTCTTTGTTTGTAAAACTTGATTTTCACCCACGACCTGAACCCCTCGAAAAAATTGAAGACTTTGTTTTTCTTGGACATATCACGAATATCTAACATAAGCCCAAAAAATCTACTTTAACGTAGTCTCGAATATTTATAGTATTCCTCAACTCTCTTAACTTTCTTCTTGCAATTATCATAACATTCTTTGGGAAGAATTGAGAGCGGAGTTTTTGTTTTAAGCTCTCCCAAGTATCCATAGTACATCGACCATCTTGTATGTCCGTATACTTGGATCTCCACCATAACTTTGCTTGTCAATTAGATACATTGTTGTCAACTGACCTTTGCTTCTCCTGCCACCTTATTTGTGGCTTGAAAGTACTGTTCGAATCCAAAGATAAAGTTCTCAAGAGCCTTGACATCTTGAATTCCACAGAAGAATTTGGGCTCTGGGACCATGATCTTGTTCAATTGTACTACACCCCCAATTGGGGTTTGGTTCTCCACGGCTTTCATGGTGAGATTTAATATGGCGCCTAAACCCACCAATTCAACCCTACCAATCGAAGGGTTGCTCTCAAATCCTCAGACATTTTTGTGACCATCTAAATGATCACTTGTTGGGCAATGTCTAAGCCTTTGACCCGTTCTTCCAACAAAGCTCGTCAAACTATCCCTACGCTATAAGGAACAAGCAGTTGTGGCCTTGTCTTCTAGGCCCCATCTATTTCGACTCCAAAAGCCCAATTCCATAAGGAACTTGAGTCATACAGAATAACTGCTCTTTCATTTCATCCATTCAGTGAATTTGGGACTTGCTTTGTTGTTTTACAGCCGGCATGTTTGTGTACTACTTTGTACAGGAGCCGAATCGCCTCTAATACCACTGGTCACAATCTCACTCTTACAGCAGCGAGACAACGATTGTGTGGTACTTGTTCTAACCTAACGAACAAGTCAGCCATATGAAATTCACATTTTGTGGACAATATCGACTTATACTCGATCCTTGAGTCACGTTTGAGAGAATTATTTTAGAAAACGTGAGCGAAGAAATACGTTGAAAACACTTTTAAAGAAAACAATGTTATAAGCTAAAAACGAGTAGGCAACAACAACGACTTTGATAGCATATAACCCGAGTATGAAGAATTAACAACTAGTCACATCCCCTACATTATATTTTGGGGCATTTTAGTCGTGAGTGGGTGTAGACATGACTTTGATGACCAGTCATGCACTATCTAACATGAAAATAAGTAAAATGGGTCTAGAGTGACATGTGATCATGCACCACAATAATAGTAAAAGTCTATCTAACATGAAAAAGAAGTAAAATGGGTCTAGAGTAGACATGTGATCGTAGACAACACGTCTAGACAAGCATGATTAGAGAAATCTTGAAATACCCACGGGCTCCTTTTTTTAATTTTTAATTTTTTTTCTCTTCCCCCAATAAAAGCCGTAAAAGGAAAGTAATCCCTAATTATCAAAATAAATATTTTATAATTAAAACCACAAATCATCCCATAATTAAAAAATATATTTAAATATTTCTCATTTCCGCATTTCTTTTCCAAAATGTCCTTTGAACAAACCCTTCGTTTTCTCCTCCAAAACCCTAACTTTTTTCCTTCTCCTTTGATTATCACTCTCCACTAATTTTCCTATTTTACTGGTAAGTTTGTGGTAATTTTCTCCATTTTTTCCTCAATTTCCTCCATTTTTCCCATCTTTCTTTCATTTTTTTCATAAATAAAATCAATATATTTCAAAATTTCTTTCAATTTTCTTTCAATTTTCTTTTCTTCCTTTTATTAAGGATTAATTTTCTCATTTTTTGCATGATCTGTTCTGTACTTTAGCCAAATACTCTGTTAGCGCTTTCAAGTTAATAGGATTTCCCCCCTTGCATTTCGTTGGATTTTGTTAAGAAATTTGAGGAAATCTTGGACTTTTGGGGTTTTAGGGTTTTTGTTAATTCTTGTAAACATTACTTTGCTTTGGATTGATTTCGCATTTAGGAAATCATTAATCATCTTCTCAGTTTTGTTTTTGTTAATTCTTTGTTTTCATTTCTTGCACTGGTGTGGTTATGTTACAGATTGCGAACTAAATAAATTTCAAAATCTTCATTACTGTCATAGATCTTGCCTTCTGCGCTTCCGTATTTTATCGGAATAGAAATTATGGCTGATTATCGAGATGATGATCCAAAATCACGTAGTTCTTCTTCGCGTATTTGCACTTTTGATTTCCAGGTTTTCGGTAGAGTTTTGATTCGAGCTGCTGAGCGAAAGAGAGGAGCAAAATGTCGGGATCTGAGACTGGTGTGGTGACGAGTAGGGAACCCTTTAGCATCGGCGTTCAGAATAGCTCCTTACAGTCGCAGGCGGCGGCCCAAAACATGCGATTAACCTTTAGCGCCGATGGTACGGCAGTTTACAAGCCTGTAACTCCTTCAACCTCACCGGCATATCAGTCCTCCATGGTCGGAGTTTCTGGTAATGACGGAAATGAGGGATCAGCGGGTGGGGGGTCTATGTTGCCTCATGGTTTCAACATAAATTCGGTGGGCAGCGAGCAAGCAAAGAAGAAAAGGGGGAGGCCGAGGAAGTATGGACCAGATGGCTCCATGGCATTAGCTTTAGGTTCTGGGCCGCCTTCAGGAAGTGGAGGTTTTTCTCCTTCAACTATGGCTAATCCTGCTTCAGAGGGATTAGCCTCACCAAATTCAATGAAGAAAACTAAAGGCAGGCCACTTGGTTCTAAGAAAAAACAACAATTGGAAGCTTTGGGTAACTAAATATTATAAGCGTCTTGCCCGATAGATACTCTTCCTTGACGAGATCCAATTGGGTCTCTGGATTTGATGCTTACTTGACTGCTATTTGTTATGCTCGTTGCTTTTAACAGTATGTATATTATCTTTCACGTGGGCAATGGCAATATAGGAATATTCTAGATTGACTAGCAGTTTTGAGTTGACTAATTTACTGTGATTAGTTATATGAGTTGTTTGGAATAGATATATCTAATTGGGTTCCTTATCGTTTATATGCATAATCTCTGCCTTGAAGACTTAAAAAGTATGGAAAAGATAGTGATATCATATCCAGGAAGTTGGATTCTTTTATGTCCTAGATGAGATTGTAAGCATGAAATTACGCATTTGCCCTTTTCGTTGTCTTGCATTTTCTGCTATGTGCTTCTTAAAATGATAACAAATCTTAGTTTTTATTTCCCTTCCTTCCTGTGTTGTTTGACCAATATTTGTTTAGTCATTTAGTCGCATTTACAACAAGATTAATTAATTTTTGTTATGGAAATCTAATTATCTTTACGAAATTGCATCAAATGTTGGATCGCCAATCAAACATACCTTTTCTGGTGGAATAGACATCTCCTATTTGTCTATTACTGTTTTTCCCATTCCTTTTTTGTCTTTTTTTTGTGTGTACATGACTGAAATTATAATGTTTCACTGTAATGAGAAGACAATAACAGGTGAAAAGGAAGGGAATCTTACTTTGGTTGACTTTATAAGTGTCCAAGCGTTGCTATAGTTTATCTTCTAAACTATTGTGTGATAATTATTTTATCTTGGTTGTCTTATTGAAAACTGTGTCTTACTACAGACCTATTACTTGCAGGACCAGCTGGTATTGGATTCACTCCACATGTTATTAATGTGAAAGCCGGAGAGGTTCTAATTTAAAATACTCTCTGACCCTTTTTATGGCCATGTCAATTATTTTTACTTATAATATCAGCATCTTGAATGACTAAACAACACATTTTGTTGCACATCCAACGTAAATTATTGTTATATTGAATGCTTTTTGGATGCCCTTACTGTTTCTTACATTGTGGTACTGAATTGTTCATGAATAGAAGGTAAGATGCTTATTGTCACTTTTTACTCTTGCGACAGGATAAAAGCAGAAGCTCGTGGAATGTTGTCATGTCTAACTTTTTTTTATTTTCAACTTGGAAGTCCATGAGTGTATAGTGTACCTGGATTGCTTTTTGTTTGCAGGATGGATTAATTAATAACACTATTTTCAACTGCGCATTCATTTCATTCTCACATCCTTTATTCGCTCATTTTATTCTTACGTTCGTTTTTCTGCCCAAGTAACAATAATTTGATTGGCGCGCGGTGTTGCAGGATGTATCGTCGAAAATAATGTCCTTTTCTCAGAATGGCCCTAGGGCTATTTGTATCCTCTCTGCAAATGGAGCAATATCGAATGTGACTTTACGTCAATCTGCTATATCTGGTGGAACTGTTACTTATGAGGTTTGTAAGCTCATGCCGCATATATAGTTTTTAGACTGATAAAAACTGTGTTTCCTTGCATTTGTTTGAAGGATAATTGTTAATACAAGTTTATGAGTTGCTTAGTTTTTGTCATCATGCAGGGTCGATTTGAAATCCTGTCACTCTCAGGTTCATTTCTGCTGTCTGAAAATGGTGGTCAGAGAAGCAGAACTGGTGGTTTGAGTGTTTCTTTGTCTGGTCCAGATGGCCGAGTGTTGGGTGGTGGTGTGGCGGGTCTTCTCACGGCTGCATCTCCTGTTCAGGTAAATTAGTTTCTTTTCCATAGACAACTCAGTCAACACTTAATTATCTCTCTGCTTGGGCTTCTCCACAGAAACTTTGGCTACTTTCTGATTTCTCTATCCAGTTTTTTCACTTGATATTGGTTCTGCATTCTGGAAACGAATATGCAGGTGGTCGTGGGAAGTTTCGTAGTCGACAGCAACAAGGAACCGAAGTCAGACAGCCAAACAGAACCCATCTTCGCCTCGCAAATGCCAAACCCAGTTGGCTTTGGTCACTTAACAGGAGGAGGAGGAGGAGGAGGAGCCAGTAGTCCTTCTCACGGGACGCCGAGTGAGTCTTCCAGTGGCGACCCTGACAGCCCCCTTAACAACAGCTCTGGAGCCTGTGACGACAACAACAACCATCCGCAGGGCATGTCTGGCATGCCATGGAAGTAAGTATCCTAGCAATTGAATCTAGCTGTGACACATGACACATCGCATCCACACATGGGTGTTGTATTTCAAAAAAGTTTCAGTTTTTAGCATGATAATAGCAAAAGGCAAGTTAGGGAGAGATTCAGTTTCTGATGTTTTGGTGATCAAACCCGGTTTGTCAGATTGTATCATTGAATTTTGAGGTTAGAAGAAGAGTTGGTTTTAGATAGGCTGTTAGTTCTGTAACTGCATTGTTTAACTTAATCAATTGCTTTCCCCTTATTCATGTTGGAATTATAGTTTTTTTTAAAAAATATTTTTTGAGCAAAAAAAACTATTTTTCTATGAACATCTTTTGACGAACTAATAATTTAAATTAGTTTTGGAATTTGATTATTTAAAATGTTTAGTTTCATGCTGGTGTATTGAACTGTTTTTAATGATGTTCTTGACCAAATCTTAATATTAACATAAAGTCCAAACCATGTTCAATGTTTTAATTTGATGCAATTGATGTTATCATCATCTATCAAATTAAAATTTTTCTCATTTCATATGATTTAGCAAATTGGTGTTTATAGTTGACCTATAATTACTTAAAAGTTAAATTATGGTTTTAGAAAAATTGATTTAATTTTTTATACGAAAACTAGTAACTTTTTTTTTTTTTTTTTTTTTTTTTGTTAATAAACAAGGAAGTTATAAGTAATGCAATTATGAAATTCATGTGGAGTTCGGTTCTGACTCGATAAATGTTGGTTGTGTGCTTAACAATTGCAAGTTGGATAAGAAGTGGTGTTTTAGTGAAAAACAAGTGAATAACTGGGATATACAAAAAAATTGGAACGACACAGAGAATATTAACATGACCATTGTGCAAGGATGACATGCACAAATCGAAAAATTATGTTAGAGTTAGACCTTGCTCGGTGTGCCAGCGAGGAGTTGGACCCTTAAGAGGTGGATTGTGAGATTTCATGTCAATTGGAAAAGGGAATGAATCATTTTTGGCACGGAAACGTCTCGTTGGAAAATAGAATGAATCATTGAAAATAGAATGAATCATTTATGTAATGGACTAAAACAGACAATATTTACCGTGGGTTTACTGGGTTCAAACCAAAACCGACAATATTTACGGTGGATTTACTGGGTTCAAACGGTTACGAATCTCCTAATTCGTTTCAAAGGAAACAAATTTTAGCAAAGGAGAAAATTTTGAACACAAATAATTTATTGTCTCCCTTGATTTGAAGGGCGAATGAGTTGAGTATAAGAATTTCTTGGGCTTGTTTTCCAACTCAGCTTTCTCTCTTTCCTTTTTTGAACTTCCCAAAAGCCGCCTCCTGAAGAAGCTGTCAATTGCCCACACCAAGCCTCCTCAAGCTCTCAAAACCCGCCTCCCACACCACTTTCAGGTATTCTCTCCGCCCACCACCACCCTTTTCTTCATCTTTTCATCTTCCTTTTCCCGTTTTCCGCTTTCCTCTCTTCCTCTCTGTGTATTGCCAAACGTCTTTCACAATGTGATTTGCAACTTTTTTCAATTATTTCTCCAACATTGCTTGCGTTCTTTATTTCTCGATTTTTCTTCGTGGTTTAACGCTCATTTATTTTGTGCTGATTGCGGCTCTTCTTCCGGTCGCTCGACTTGGTGGATTCACGAATCGCGAAATCCGTATGTTATTTTCTTGTTCTTGGTTGGTTCTTCAGTAGAATCCCTTGCTGTTTTCTTCTTGTTTATGTGCACACACAAACTTACAAATCATACAGTGGTGGGGAAGGAAGATTCATGTTCTACCTTGTATTTGGTTTTGAAACTTTCAACTTTTTTAACCCTAAACTCAGAATTAGTGGTGAAATTAGTATATCTTAGCTGTATGAAAATAATTGCTAAACCAAAATCAAGGCAAACAAATGGGTTTGTTTAGATCCATTTCCTGAGACAATAGCATTGTCCAGCCATTGATAACTCACAACTACTCCCAAGTCTTATAAAAAAAAGAAAATTCAATGCGGGAAGGTATTGGTTTCGTGACTGGACGATTCACTGGGACGAAATTTAAAACTGAAGAACTTCATGAACTTTACTCAAGAATGAATAAGATTACATTATCAGTTGGAGCGGAATGAAACATTTTTATAAGGGTGTGGAAGTCTTTTCCTAGTAGATGGGTTTTAAAACTATGAGGCTGAAGGCAATATGTAACGGGCCAAAACGGATAATATATGCTAGTGGTGGGCTTGGATTGTTAAAAATGGTATCAGAGTCAGACACTAGGCGGTGTGCTAGCGAGGACGTTGGACCCTTAGGGGGTGGATTGTGAGATCCCACATTGGTTGGAGGAGGAACAAAACATTCCTTAAAAGGACGTGGAAACCTCTCCCTAGTAGATGTCTTTTAGAACTGTGAGGCTTGACGATGATACGTAATAGGCCATTGGCCTGGTACACTTTCTGTGATTCTCTGGATTTTAGGAGCTCCAAGCCTTTGCTTTATCACCACTATGGGAACATATCTATGCTTTAGATTCAAAATTTATCCCATAGTGATTCAAACGTTTTCCTTACTCTATAACTTCATTTCTTCAATTGAACTGGTCAATTTTCTTTCAAATATGTCTATGAGATCTTTCTGTCCTTCACAAGATGAGAAAAAACTGGAAAATATAACTTCTCATATAATATTTAATGATTCAGTATCCATTTGAATATTTTTCGTTTAACAAGTCATGGTGTGATATTAATTTCTTACTTTTCCCCCTTTGCTAGTGCTGTTGGCCGTGGATTTGATTACTGATCTTTTAGCTATTTGCACGATTCACCTAGCCATTATTAGTTGACCCATTATGTTCAATCTTTTTGATCCACTTGTTAAACTTCAAAATTTGATAGCCATATTTGGGGTTAGACACCCCTTTATCTGTAATTGAGTTGCCTTATTCCTGGCAAGGTTTGAGGTGCAGTCATCTCTTAGAGATTCAGGAACATCAACTAAATTATATTGATTATTTATGTGAGCAATAATTGAAAATACCCTTGTATGAAGTTCAATATCTTTCTGTCTTTGCTTGTCAAACAACCATTTGGCGCTCTCAAGAGTGTAAAAGTTGGAATCATAGCCAAATTCCTAATTGTGAGTTTATTGTTGTAATTCATAGGCATTGGGATATAAACATGGCCTTTCCTTCTGAATTGAGAATATGCAGCAGGTATGTTGAGTCCTGTTTCTGTGATGTGTATCATATTCACATAAGCAGATTTATAGCATGCTCAGGTCAACTGGCACGAGTTATTCTGTGGTTGGGTTTCGATTTTCAGTTTACGCTTTCAACCAGCATGCATTACGGTGAAAAGAGAGTTCTCTGTGCTTACACAATTGTTAGAATCTTTAGAAGAATATTATGGAGCAATTATTCATTGACCTTCAAATATCTTGTTGCATGTAATCCAGATTTGTCTATGAAAAAGAAGTTCTAAATCAGTGCTTGAAATTTAAAAGGGCATATCTCTTAACGAAGTTACTTCATGGTCCAATACCTTTATCTGGTTTATTAGGTAATGAATTCCTTTCAAGGCAAAAAATGAAACAGGTTAGAAGCACCCCACACACCCTAGAAACATACACACACAGCACACGTTCAGGAAAATCAACTTGTCCCGAACTCGAAGAAACGGTTCACTAATTTTGTGTAAGTTTTTTCTTCGATGATAGCGTAGAGGGAATGAACATATGACAGCAACCATTCTAAAGAGTATTTAGTATTTGATATTTTTCAAATTGTACTCATTTGTACTAAGGTTCCTTTGATCATCATGGATTGTATGTTTCAATATCTTCTATCCCCATTAAGATCTGTGTACCTCATTAACAGGTGAATTGAAAACATCAAACAAATAATCTACAAAGTTCCATAAGTGGAGACTGGAGCATGGTCATGGAAGGCCATGGCGATCATATGAAGCTGAAGCCATCAGTTATTCTAACTGGAACAGCCAAGGAAGGTAGTTCTGGCCCTCCGATTGGTCTTGTCGATATTGGCGTGAGTGAAGGTGCATACCTTTTCCGCGTTGCATTGCCTGGTGTACGGAAGGATCGAAGTAATCTCCTTGATTCGTCTTATTTTTCTCTCAATCTAGCATTCATGTAGAACTCCTCCTGTTATATGTTTGCTCATTAGAGAGATAATCAACTAGATAATTCTTCCAGGTAAGGTAAAGTTTGAGATCAAAAGCGATGGTAGGGTTCACATTGAAGGAGTGATGACAGGTCCAGGCCTTTTGAAGGATTCATCAGCTATGTATCAGATGAAAGTGCAGCAACTGTGTCCTCCCGGATCTTTTACGGTTTCTTTTAAACTGCCTGGACCAGTAGATCCACGGTTGTCGTCTCCTAGTTTTCGGCCCGATGGCATTCTGGAAGTAGTGGTTATGAAGTCCAGAGCACCTCCAACAGTGGCTGATTCCCATCCTCCGCCGTGAGTATGATGGAGGTAGGTACATGGTTTTGCTGTCTCCTTATGTTAGTTTTCTATGAAGAAAAAGGGTCACTTTACAACGTAGTTTAGCTCATTAACTTGTTGGTTTTGGAGTTTGAATTATGTGTTTAACAAGGCCTTGTCATTAATATTATAACTTCAATATTTAAATCACATGTTGAATGTATTTATTAGGGATTATGGGAAACATTCTAGGTGGACTAGTTTTGTACACCTAGAAAATGAAACCCTTTTCTCTTGGTCTTAAACACGTCTCGTTGGCCTATTAACCCGCTCGAAGCTAGTCCATCTAGGATGTGTTCTCTAATCAAAACCATTTTCATTTCATATCAAGTAAGATAGTGTTCGGTAAGATTAAAGTGTTTGGTAAATTGATACTAAATTGTTAGCGATTTATCTATTATAACCAAAGTATGCATAATATTTACGTGAGTTTTTGGGATTGCTAAAGTGAAATGCAAACCGGTTTTATGTAAATTACTTATAATCAACATTACCTTCCTCAATGTCAATACCAAACGCAACCTAAAAGGGTCGTTATTTTAAGATTTGATTTTAAATTTGTCGGAAAATTAATCAACGAGATTCAAAAACAAATTGTGAGTAAAGCTAGTTATGATATTTCTTAAGGTAATGAATTGGCTGATCTCGAACTTAATATAAAGACGTGCTAGATCATGTGTGAAGGTTAGTAAAATTTAATGATGTTATGGAGAGATAACTCGTTGGAGGACTAAGGTAACATCAAAAGGATAGCATCCTACCTCATATTTATCAAAAAAATTATGATACTGTTTGTCTGAGTGAACTCCGATGTTAAAGGATATGTCCAAACCACTGTTTATTAATTTGAGGAGTACCAAAAGGTTCACAGCCTGAGAGATTAGGTCATGGAATTTTTTTTTTATAGGTTTACCTAAAATAACAAAAGGTCACACTGTCATTCGAGTAGTGGTGGGTTATCACACTCACAAGCATACACATGTGATGTTAGTATTAGCAGTAGCAATGCCTTGGTCTCATAAACATAAACAGTTGGGATTTTAAGTTATATCTTATTGAAATCTCTTATCACCACAAATATTAGACAACCATTGGTGTGACACTATTTTAAACTTTATATTGAAACAATCAAGGCATTGGGATGAGATAGGGAGTTGGGAACAAAGGTAGCCAAAGTCACCAGTGAGGCCATACAAAAGATCGAGGCACGAATGCACACAACTCAGAGTAGACAAAAGAGTTACGCTGATGTGAGGCATAGAAACTTGGAGTTTGAGGTAGTCAATAAGACTCTTGAAGGTGTCCTCAATGATAGGCATCTTGAGATTCGGACGAAAGGGCAAGCTAAGCCCACGATTAATCGAACCCTTCGACATTCAAAATCGAATTGAACTAGTGGTATACAGATCAACCATACCACTGTCCCTCTTCGTAGTGCATAACATATTCCACATATTCATACTTCACAAATACTTGATTGACGTAACGCACATTATAGATTACAAACCTCTCTAGATAGATGAAAACCCAAGTTATCCCAAACTTAAGATACTTTCGAAGGAAGTTTCTTTTAGATTATGATATAACAAAAATAAATAAATAAATAATAATAATAAAAAAAGGTTGTCACATATTGAGAAAGTAGGGAGTTGGACTTCCATATACAAGGGAGGTTCCTTGGCTTATTGAGTCACAACATTTGCTCTGTTTCCACTTAGGTAGTTCGGGGTCAGTCGGAGAGTTCATTTTCTTATAGCTCTACCTCGATTTCTTGGCTGATCAGGCTTGGGTCTGATATGCGCGAATCCTTTTTTACCATTTTATTTTTTTGAAAGCCATTTTTTTACACTTATCCCATCCCGTAAAAGGTTAGTATAGTTACTTTGTAAACTAATTTAAATTACTTAGAGCTAAATTTAGAATATTTTATGCAAGTTAAGTGAGCCAATTTCAAGATTAGAATTCGAAGTTAGGATTGTAGGACTCCTTATGTAGAATTGTTAGCTACCCTGAAGGGAGCGTAGTGACTTTAGCTTAGGCTAACTAGGTAAGTGAGTTTATTATTGACTTGGCTGGATGAATTGTATGGTGCATGAACGACACGTGCTCTATGACCCCTCCCTGTACAGTACTTTGTGACTGTTTGATGCATATAATGTTATGCTATATTATGACAAAAGCTATTTTATGTGATGTGTGATACCCTGAGATGTTTGTGTTTGTTATGTATCTTATCCTATGTTATATGATGCATGATACCTCTACGTGATATGTTAGCTCACTGAAATAATGTTAAGCCATATGTTGTTTATGAAAGTTATGTTTATTTAAAAGCGAAGGTATGAATAATCATCATACATATATGCCATGATTTAAAACTATGAGAATCTCATGCATTTTGTGTGTCACGTGCATTAGGATACTTCCCCTTATAATGAGTACGATGCGTATACTACGCTATTATGTGCATCATGATATGATGCGCGTTTTTCCAACAGGATGAGTATACGTTAATCGAAGGCTAGATCTAGAGATAAGTATACGAGTCTCCTGAAGGTCCATGTGGGCATACATAATAACAAATGAACAATACAAACAATCGATGATAATCACGTATAACTGAACAACATAACTCAATAATTTAGTTACAATCCATAGGGTACCCAACATGGCAAGAGTAGATTCTTAGGCAGTCCATCCCCTTCTTCTCCAATCTTCATACACCTACCATTATTATTACTATCATAGCTTATCTTCCCTTCCCGACCAAGAATCCAAGGCCTTCCACTCATCGTAGTCAATCTGGCGTTCCCTCTATTATTTTCTCCATAGCCCATTTGAGGTCGGTCATAGCCTTCGCTTTTAATGAATATATGGTCTTCAATTTATTTTGACCTCACACCAAAAGCCCCACATCCCCCTTCAGTTGGTTGCCTTCTTTATTATATCACTTACCCTTTCCTTGCCGTCGCCATCGCCATCGCTCCCTCCCGTCAATGATCTTCGTCGATCACCGTTGCGGTTTTGTGAGGGTTTGGCCATGGCATTGCCTTTTTTGGGGTCTTTTTTCCTTGGTTTTAAGTGCTTTGATGTGGGTTTTGGTTGTTCAAGTGAAATAAATGAAAAAGCTACTGAATTTGAGTATTAGTTAGACTAGCCCCCACTTGGTTTTTTGATTGTTCGACTTGTTTCATGCACCAATGGCATTTGGAAAAGGGAAAATTAAGAACCAAAGAGGGTGTAATTGTTCTTTTGACTTGACCTAATTAAGGAAAATTGTATTAAAAAGGTTAAGTTTTCAAAGTGTTCTCCTTCACTTGCCTAGAATTGATAGATTGTGTTACATTTATAGAAAAAGAAGGTAGAAATATAACGTAAATTTTTGGCATTTTCAAGTATAAAGTTAACAAGACTAAAAGCAAAATAACGTCGTAAAATGACGTAATAGTCTAAGTCCACTGTTAGCGGATATTGTCCACTTTAGCCCGTTATGTATCGTCATTAGCCTCACAGTTTTAAAACACGTCTGCTTGGGAGATGTTTCCACACTCTTATAAAAAATGATTTGTTCTCATTTTCAACCGACGTGGGATCTCACAATCCACCTTCTTGAAAGTCCAAGGTCCTCACTGGCATACCATTTGAAGTCTGACTCTAATACCATTTGTAATAGCCCAAGCCTACCGCTAGCAGATATTGTACATTTTGACCGCCTCACAGTTTTAGAACGTGTCTCTAGGGAGATGTTTCCATACCCTTATAAGGAATGTTTTTTCCCCCTCCAACTGATGTGAGATCTCACAATCTACCCCTTAGGGCTCAACGTCCTCATGGCACAACACCCGATGTCTGGCTCTAATACCATTTATAACTGTCCAAGTTCACCGCTAGCAAATATTATCCGCTTTGACCCGCATATTGATTGAAGAGAGAAACAAAACATTATTCCTTATAAAGGTGTGGAGATCTCTCCCTAGTAGACGAGCTTTAAAACCGTAAGACTGACAACGATATGTAACAAGCCAAAACAGACAATATCTACTAGCGGTAGACTTGAGCTATTACAAATGAATATGCAAAGTACGTGTAAAACAATTTAACATAGTACGAAAGAAGAAAAAGTCGAGAGATTCAAAATTTTCGATCGAACTTAAAAAAGCATCTTCTTTAGAGCTTTGATTTAGCATTCAATGCCTTTTCCATTGACCCATCAATTCATCTACTCTTCAACATTTTCCTTTCTTTTGTCCTTTCCATGACCACTGGTCATCCAAAAAAGGTGAATAATTGCAACAGTGTTCATCATCATCATCACATTCATGATCATGTTGAGTTTGAGTTCATATATATTTCCTCACAATTTCAAAAGGGTTTCTCTAAAATCTCTTACAATTCTCTTATATCTACCAAATGTTTGGAATTGAAGAAGCTGATAATGGTAAGGACAAGCATGGGCTGCCACCAGGGTTTAGGTTTCACCCCACCGATGAAGAGCTCATTGTTTATTATCTTGCTTCAAAGACCTTCCAAGCTTCCAACTTTCATGGGGTTAATATTGCTGAAGTTGACCTCAATAGATGTGAGCCTTGGGAGCTTCCAGGTACTAATGAATTGTGCCATTTTTTCATATAAAAAACTGTTCTTTTTGGTTTGATTATGATTGTTTGTGTTTTCAGATGAGGCAAAGATGGGTGAAAAAGAGTGGTATTTCTTTAGCTTAAGAGTTAGGAAATACCCGACAGGGCTTAGAACCAACCGAGCTACGGTGGCTGGTTACTGGAAAGCCACCGGAAAAGATAGGCAAATTCATAGTGATTCCAATGGAGTGAAGCTTGGAACCAAGAAAACTCTTGTGTTCTACAAAGGTGGTGCCCCTAGAGGACTCAAAACCAAGTGGGTTATGCATGAGTATCGCCTCCACTCTGATCTCGCTTCCCGTAATGCTTGCAAGGTTACTATTAACTTATGTTTCTTAGGAATCACGACTCTCTATAATGGTATGATACTGTCCACTTTGAGTATAAGCTCTCGTGGCTTTACTTTTGGTTTCCTCAAAAGACCTCATACTAAAAGAGATGTATTTCTTACTTATAAATCTATGATTGACTCGTTAATTATTCGATGTGGGACTTCTTCTCAACAATCCTCCCTTCAAGGGAAGTACACCAAAGAGTCTCCATTGAGGCCTATGAAACCCTCAAACAGTCTTCCCTTAATCGAGGCTTGACTCATTCTCTGGAGCTCTCAAATAAAGTACACCCTTTGTTCGACACTTGAGTCACTTTTGACTACACCTTCGATGCTCACAACTTCTTTGTTCAACACTTGAGGATTTTATAAGGGCATGACTCTGATACCATGTTAGAAATCACGACTCTACATATTGATATGATACTGTCCACTTTGAGTATAAGCTCTCATGGCTTTTGGTTTCCCAAAAGATCTCGTACCAATGGAAATGTATTCCTTACTTATAAACCCATGATCAACCCTTAATTAGTCGATGTGGGACTCCTCTTCCAACAATCCTCAACAATCCTCCCTCAAACAAAGTACATCATAGAGTCTCCCCTAAGGCCTATAGACCTCTCGAACAATCTCCCATTAATCAAGGCTCGACTCCTTCTTTGGAACCCTCAAACAAAATACATCATTTGTTCGACACTTCAATCACTTTTGACTACACCTTCGAGCTTCACAACTTCTTTGTTCCATACTTGAGGATTCTATTGACATGACTCAGTTAAAGGCATAACTCTGATACTATGTTAGAAATCACGACTCTCCACAATGGTACGATAGTGTCCACTTTGAGCATAAGCTCTCATGACATTACTTGTGGTCTTCCCAAAAAGCCTCATATTAATAAAGATGTATTTCTTACTTATAAACTCAGGATCTCCCCATTAACCAAATCTTTGTGGTTTCATGTAGGACGAGTGGGTTCTATGCAGAATAATACACAAATCCGGTGAGAAAATCAAACCCAGAAGATGTCTCCAAGCGTCTCCTTTGTCGGTTCCCTCTCCCGTATCTCTGCCTCCATTATTCTTGGACGAAGCTCAAACCGTAGCCCACAACGACATTCGATTCCAAGCCGCTCTACAGAACCTTCAGCGCCACGAAAATGGCGTCGAGAGCTTCATCACGAACAACCCACATTTCATTTTCCAATCAACCCTCTTACCCTTTGGCTTAAACCTCGACACCCACTTGTCTCCGCCGTCGCTTCAAGGGACGACCAGCAGCACCGACACCCACTTGGTTGATGTTGGTGGGTATGCAGGTGGGCGTGGTGAGTGTGATGAAAATTGGTCGGGAGGGTGGTGATGATTGGGTGTCGGATCAGACGTTTGTTATTTATATTCTCCCTACACGGATCTCGAAGCATTTTGTTTTCTTGTTTTTTGAATGATGCTCGAAGATCGATGTAATAGAACAATAATGCTACTTGGAACTTAATTTATTGCATTCTTTCGAAGTATTCAATCTCGTTTGTTTAGGTTTTAACGAGGAAATTGTGAGAGGAAAAACAGCCCAACGTTTGAAGAAGAAAAAATAGGAAAAACTTAAAAAAAATCTCGTGAATTGACTTAGATTACCGGTGTGGTTCTTGCTGTATTGACTGCATCATTTGGTGTAACTAGTTATTCCTTACTTCGGGACCAAATTGGTTATTGGGCAATCAAAGTTGTAAAAGCTGTACGGGAAGCTATTCCAGTAATAGGGTCGCCTTTGGTAGAGTTATTACGCGGAAGTGCTAGTGCGAGACAATTTACCTTGACTCGTTTTCATAGTTTACACACTTTTGTATAACCTCTTCTTACTGAGGTATGTATGTTAATGCACTTCCCAATGATAGGTAAGCTAGGCATTTCTGGTCCTTTACAGAGAATCGAAATCATAGATTTGTAATTAGTTGTTTATGATTACTCGGGGGAGGAAGAAGAGTATTTCATTGCTGCAAATATGTCTTATTGAAAAATAAGACATGTATTGGGATATTTCCCTTCAACTCCACGAAATTTTATTCGTTATTTTTCAATAAACAGACATATTTCTGATCCGGCTGAATACCAGATTATTTTATTTTTTATTCAATTGAGATATTTAAATAACAATATAACCTAAAACACGGATTTATCTAAAGGTTTAGGGGGTGTTCTTTTTTGTTTATTTAAAGAAAGGTGGAACGAGCTCGGACGAATGAGTTGATTCCAACAAAGATGGTCATAGGACGGAGAGTTTGCATGGACTATGGCTATGCTCTCTATGGAATCTTTTAGATTATACACTACCCTAACTCATTTCAAAGTTGTATGATGGTTAACTTTTGGTGAAAATTTTCCTCAATGATTTCTCTTTGAAAAATCTTGAACCAATGGGAAAAATGTCACTTCATTGTGCAACAAGAAGACGTAATGGTAGGACACGGGATCTTGAAGAAATAAATAGAGGTGAACATGATCAAGTCCGAGCTATTTTTCAAACTTCCCTTGTCAAAAGTGGGTCATATTCAAATAATAATTTAAAAGGTCTATAGTACATAGATAAGGTTGGGTGTTTTATGACCCACTTTGTAATTGTTACAATGATTTGATTCAAATCGTTCATGTATGAATATGTGAGTGAGGGTATCATATATAACGAGTTTGTATAAGACTAGTCCACAAAAAGTATTTAATCTCTCTTTATAAATTTGTTAACGGAAAAAATTAATATTTTACGAGATGATCATATGTAGTCCTATCAGAACTTGATTTTCGAGGCATTGAACCTCACATCTGACTAAAAAGACAAGACAACAGTAAACAAATAAAATAAAAAATAAAAATATGGTAAATTTTAAATCAAATTAAAATAAACGACACCATAATTAAAAACAATATGAAATCTAGTTACAAGTTGGTGCTATTAAAGTTTATTACAAACAAGAAACGGATGGGAGGTACATTTATAAACAAAGTACAAAAGACCCAAATTACATAGACGGATTAACGCTTCTAAACGATCCCCTCTATGTTTGAGCAGCTCTTGAATGCTTCCCCACCTCTTCTGAACGATCCCCTCTATGACTAAGTAGCTCTCGAATGCTTCCCCACCTCGATTGCCCTGGATTGGCTGCCTACAAACACCTAAACAAAAAGAAAGAACAATGAGCATAAAAATATTCAATAAGCAACCTAGTTGTATGCTATATAGCATCCTTAACCTAATAGGTATCTATGAGCTTTTCTCTGGGCTCTAGGAAGTTCGGCCTAGTCTCTATTGCTATCTGAGCATTTAGGGAGGCCTCAAAGTTTCGAGTAGGTCTTTGATTGGAATCTTACCTCTAGGGCTCTGCTTTATGTTTTTTGATTTAGATAGTTTCTTTGCTTATCCTAAGTTGAGACGCTACCTCATAATCATGTAATAGGTAGAGTATGGTGTTGAAAATCATCTATGGGAGATTAGATGATGAACTCTCCCACAAGACCATAAAGTCACCCTAGTGTAAGGAAGCGACCCACGTGTGTCAGCCAGCTAGTGTATCTTACTACATGAAACTATGCCCCCTCTTAGAATAAATTTTATTGCACAATGGCTCGTTCAATAAACCACTGGCATTTTCCTCTAGGTAAGGGCACTTGGTCGCCTCGATGCTACGCTATTTGGCCTAGGCTTGACTCGTCGATACATTTGCTACTACCACTTGATAGGGGTAATCCAATCTTTGGATGCAGTCAGGTCTAGACGTTTAATTGTCGCTAACGATCTTGGGGTGCTTAGTTTATTAAAAACATATTGACCGAGGTCAACGTGTAAACCACTCCAACTCTAACGCCCTATTCTTAGCTTGGTTCACGCATACATGCTTTGTTAAGGAGGTCTTCCTATGGATCACTAAAAGCTCAGAAATCATATTCTAAATATCACCTTGGTCATTGTCAAGACCTAATTTTTAAGGATTCAAATCTCACACCATAACTAAAAGACAAAGCGAAAGCAAATAAAAGAAAAATATAAAATAAAAATAAATGTACAAAAATACGGTAAAATTTCATGCAATTTAAAGTCATACAACACCATAGTCAAAAACCAAAATTAAAAAAGAAAAATAAAACAAAAATTGTGTTGTTCAAGTTATTTACAAACGGGAAATAGGAACGAAATACAAAATGAATACAAATTAAACTGATGTCCGGGTTGACATCCCTTTGGGATAGCGTAATTTTCGAGCACCTCTCCACCCGACCTATAGATGAAAAAGAAAAGGGAAAAGGGGTGAATGTAAAAACCCTTAACCTAGTAAGTATTCACTAGTTTTACTCTAGCTCTAGGAAGTTCGGACATAGTCTCTACTTCTATCTGAACAACTAAGTATCTCGAAGTTCCATATAGTATTAGTCAAGCGTTCTCGGTTTAATTGTCTACCAAGCATTAAGAAACTGGAAGCCAAACAGATATCTATGGACAACTAATGATCTAGCCAAACATGATATCTATGCTCATAACCTCAAGCAGCCACAAAACTTGTTCTGAATCTAAGAGACTAACACATTTTAAATCAATATCCATCCATTAACTGGATTGGGCACCTCATTCATTAATTTTTTTAGTACAAAAAATGGTTGGGAAATGATTGTCAATCTCCAGAGGCAAGAATTCACCATGGAAGATGTGATTCTTGACACATAAATGATTCATATTCTGCATTTAATGAATGATTGAGCACTCCCCGCTATTACCTAATTCATATATCCGTTTTGTCCATAATTTTGGTTTCTTCTCTTTTAATCACTTCCACTCTGTTTTCAGCTTCTTCTTTTTGTTCTGTTCTTCGCGTTTTCATCTTCATCCAAGCCCATAATCCTCAAGGTTCACTCTAATCTCTCTCTCTTCTTATTGTTTCATTTGATTCTTCGTAACCCATTTGTTAATTCTTCACTTTATTTGAACCCATTTGTGTGGGAATCGAAATCTTTCAAAAGGGGTGGGAGATTTTACACATTTGAACCAAACCCACTTTCTAACTTCACTTAAATCCGTATGAACTTAGTCAATTCACTACTCATTTTGTGTGTGGACCATGATGAAGAACAATGAATGGTGGTGTTCTTGATTGATTCTTTCTTTCCCCTTTTGCTTTTTAAACATAATTTCCTCAAAGTTGGTCGATCCGATCGATCCCACATCCCTCAATGTCTTTCAACTCTCAATTATTAGCCTTATAATGATAAAATTCACAGCCACGAAAGAAATTACTAACCCTTTTCACTGTCCCATCTTCAACCCCTTTGTCTTTATGTAACATGTTATCTTTCTTGTCTCCGCCCCATTCTCTCTTCTGGGTGCTCCTTTTTCTCCGTTCTAAGCTAACCCTTTTGAGTAAACCATCTGAATTTCCGATCTGTTGCTCTGTAGTTTGCAGTGCCTGACCCCATTGGAGCGTGGATTGAATAAATGAAGGGAGCTGTGTTAGTGGCTCTTGCAGCTTCCATTGGAAACTTTCTTCAAGGATGGGATAATGCCACCATTGCCGGTAGGATACTTTGTTCATGATATGCTTGTTAGATTATGTATCCAAACACAAAAGGTTTCACAGTTCTTAGATTCATGAACTTTGTGTATATTAGGGGCTATGGTGTACATAAAGAAGGACATGGCTCTGAATTCTTCAGTGGAAGGACTTGTAGTGGCGATATCACTGATAGGAGCAACGATTATTACGACGTGCTCAGGACCGATATCAGATTGGGTCGGTCGACGTCCAATGCTGATACTATCATCACTGCTTTATTTTATAAGTGGTTTGATCATGTTGTGGTCGCCTAATGTGTTTATATTGTGCATAGCTAGGCTGTTGGATGGATTTGGGATTGGTCTTGCTGTTACTCTTGTACCAGTTTATATTTCTGAGACTGCCCCTTCAGATATAAGAGGATTGTTGAATACTCTCCCACAGTTTACTGGATCTGGTGGCATGTTCATATCTTATTGTATGGTATTTTCTATGTCGTTGTCGGTCTCGCCGAGCTGGAGGGTAATGCTTGGAGTTCTTTCGATCCCGTCCGTCCTATATTTTATACTAACGGTGTTTTTCTTGCCTGAATCTCCTCGGTGGCTTGTTAGTAAAGGTAGGATGCTCGAGGCGAAAAAGGTTCTCCAGAGACTCCGTGGCATCGAGGACGTTTCGGGTTCGTATTTCTATTCCTTATTGCCCTTTTTACTTCAACTTTGCGAAAATTTTGCTAGTTATATGTTACTTAAGCCATTGTGTTGCCTTTTTCTTGTATGCTATATAACATTGCTTTCAATCTATCTCAATCTTGCTTTCGAATGGATAGGAATCACGGATCTCCATAATGATATGATATTGTCCACTTTGAGCATAAGCTCTCGTGGCTTTGCTTTGGACTTCCCCAAAAGACCTCGTACCAATGGAGATGTATTCCTTACTTATAAACCCATGATCATTCCCTAAATTAAGCCAATGTGGGACTC